ACACAGCTTGCTTTGCAGCAGACCCAAAGTCGGGTTCCTTCTAAAGCCAGCTGTCTTTCTCTTAAAGCTCTTGACAATTGGTTGAAAGCCAAATAGCAAGGCCTTGGCTTGCCTTTTTCCTGTAGTTCTTAGACAAATCGTCTAGTGACAACACAGAAGCTGACTAAAGACGCCTGGGATTTGACCTCTGTGGTTTTCTGGGCTTTGTTTATTTCGTACTGGCCTGTGTAAAAGCAGTGATTTAAAAGGCGCTAATATTTAATTTGGCTTGTGCACGAGCGTCAGAGCTTTCACACAGTTGTAAGTAATGTTGCTCTCTCGGAGCTGGGAAAGCCGGCAGATTTACTTGAGGTTGTCATGCCCAGGTGGCATACAGTGATTCAGATGGCGAAACCGCCTATTCACGCTGTAGAGACACCATATACATCATGTGAGCTGAAAGGCTCTTTCAGAGGAAGGCCGGGATTAAAAATGACTTTTGATGCTTTATCCCCTTCCTCACAGGCAATATATGAAATGTCCAGGGGAGAGCAGGACCTAATCGAAGATCTGAAGCTTGCCAGAAAGGTGAGTGGGGTTTTTTCCTGCAGTCAGTAATCGTATTGCGGGTAATAATGAAGTTTCATTGCAGCTGCAAACATTCCACATCAGCTTTGTCAGGCCCAGAACCCACAGCTTGACAGCTGGCCTGGGAAGTTGACGTGAGCAGTCCCACAGTACTGGTTTGACTGCAGTAAACCCAGCCAAATAAGGGTTGTGCTTTGCAGTCCTACAGAGCCGGTTGGGGAATCCCTCTCCCCGGTGAGAGCAGTTCAGACAGGAAAGTCCTTTTCATTTGAAGGCCTTGATACCTTCATACAGAGATGAACCTTCTAACGATCAAAGTCGGTGTTACTGTTTGTGTTGGCTTCACTTCATATCTGTCCTGCGCGTGGTACATCCCCTCGTATTTCAGTTGTCAGCTTTTGGGCTTGGGAGATCTGAACATGTTTTAATACTGATGTTCTTTGACAGGCCTATCATGATCCCATGCTGAAACTCTCTATCATGTCTGAGGAGGAACTCACCCACATATTTGGGGACTTGGATTCTTACATTCCTCTGCATGAAGGTAAGAGCAAGTGGATCATTCTCACATAGTGTGCTGACTAAGAGTTAAACTCTGTGCTTTCTCACATTGGAACAGCTTACTGGAGCACTGATGCAATTTCTGTCCTTGTGTTTCAATTCCAGACTTGTTGGCGAGTTTAGGAGAAGCAACAAAACCAGATGGAACAGTGGAGCAGATTGGACCCATTCTTGTGAAGTGGGTGAGTACAGAACTTAGAGACAGCAGGCTAAAAATGCGCTTAAAGAACGTTTAAAGCTAGAAGCCGAAAAGCTGTGGGCTTTTGTGACCTTGAGCGAAGAGATTGGAACGGAAATCCTGGCTACACTGAGAACAATAGGAATCTGTCAGCCGTAACGGGCCATGATTTCACCCTGGAGACTTACACTGGCATGACTGCAATTACTTGCTGATTTATGTTTGAAATGTCTATATCTTCTGCACTGGTTGTCACTGATGTGATTTCAGTGGTGTTATCGCTGTTCATCTCAACCATCTGAACTTCAAAGGCATTGCATGCAGGATGCCCTTGTTCTCCTCACGAAAGACCAGCTACATATACAAGATAGTCTGTCAGCTTTTTTTTATTGGGCAAAGTATCGCAGTAAGGGAAGTAGAACTCCCCGAGCTTGACATGTTAATGCGATTTGCTTTTCCTACAGGGAGTTTGACTCCTGAATAATTGTTCTCTTGTCCTGCAGTTACCACGACTCCATGCCTACAAAGGTTACTGTAGCAATCAGCTGGCAGCCAAAGCGCTTCTGGATCAGAAGAAGCAGGACCGGAGAGTGCAGGACTTCCTTCAGCGCTGCCTGGAGTCCCCTTTCAGCCGCAAGTTAGACCTTTGGAGCTTCTTGGACATTCCTCGAAGTCGGCTGGTCAAATACCCACTGCTCCTGAAAGAGATCCTGAGGCACACTCCCAAAGACCATCCCGATATCCAGATTCTGGAAGAAGCCGTAAGTAATAGTGATTTTGTGATCGTTGCTCTGACGTAAGCACGTCATTCTGGAGCTCCAGAAAGCTTTCTTAAACTCCCCAGCAATTTTGTGGGGTGGGCACAAATCTGCGACTGTAACCCTGCATGAAAGCAAGTGAAAGATGGGTCCACGTGGGTTCCATCATCTGGAGTTTAATTAAATAGCGCTTACAGGGAGGATACACAAGCAGAGGCCACTATTTAATCACTTGTGAACGTTTTGATTTATAGATAGCGATAATCCAAGGAGTCCTCGCTGACATCAACCTGAAGAAGGGGGAGTCGGAGTGCCAGTATTACATTGACAAGCTGGAGTACCTGGACGAGAAGCAGAAGGACCCAAGGATTGAAGGCAGCAAAGCTTTACTGTGCCATGGGGAGCTGAAGAACAAAAATGGACATGTAAGTCCCTCCTGTTCACGGTAATTAATTCTCAAGTTTGAAAATCTTCCCTCGGAGGCAGTGAAAACTGTTTGTCTGTTATAGCAGGACCAGCAGCCCTTCCATCCTTCGGGTTAGTTTAGACAATGAGCTAAATTTAAAAAGCAGAAGAGAAAGCACCTGATGGCAGTCTGCATTTCAGGGCGTAAGGGAAAGTTTCCTGCTGACAGCTTTCAAATTGGCCTTCAGAAGCTGGAAAATAATTAGCGCAAGATTACCATAGAAAGCGTGCTCCGTGCCCAAGCACTCCATCAAAAGGGATTTCCTGATGGCTGTTTACTTTCAGGTGCTCTGCCGTTCCCCGTTATGAGCGCTGGCGCACAGCTCTTCCAAACAAAAGCGTTCCTGCAAAAGCCTGTTTGGCTTTGACGTGAACCACCAGAAGTTTATCTCCTGCTGCAGCAGCGCTGAAAGACCCTGCTGTATGCCTTTGTTCTGCCTTGCGGGACTAACCTCATTTTAAACATCAAATTTTTTTCTGTTTTCTTCATGGTTTTTTGTTGGTTGGGGGCTTTTTCGTTTAATTTGGCCATTATATTTCTGTACACATAAAGCATTTTGTATTGTCAGAAAAGATGTTGTTTTTAACCATCCTATTCTTGGCCTCTATAAATCATAATTCACTTTCTAAGGGTTGTGAGATAAGAAACCTGGTGATGTAAGTGTGGTCTGTGCCACCGCTGCCAGGGCCCTGCGTCGCTGTACGAGGAAACTGGCAGAAAGTTAACGTGGGTGAAACTCCAGATAACGTGGCCTTGAATCCCAGAGGACGTGTAACCGCTGTGAATACAGAGTACAACGCTTTGCTCATATTCAGATGTGTTTTCCCTTTCAGAAACTCTACGTCTTCCTCTTCCAAGACATCCTGGTTTTGACCCGGCCGGTCACTCGCAATGAGCGTCAGGCCTACCAAGTGTACAGGCAGCCGATCCCCGTCCAGGAGCTGCTCCTCGAAGACCTGCAGGACGGCGATGTGAAAATGGGAGGATCCTTCCGAGGAGCCTTTGGGAATTCCGATAAAGGTACAGACCAACCCAGCTCATCTGTGCGGGAGTCTGTGGGTGAGGAGAGGTTACTCCTGGGCGTAGATCCCCGTGGACCGAGGTTCCTCCAGGACAGCAGACATGTGATCCATGCTAACATCCACCTTTAGACTTGTCACTGCTGGGCTTTGCAGTTTTACATTTGGTGACCGTGAATGTGAATATGGTGCTTTGCAGCTGGTGCTCAGGTTGGAAAACATCTAAAACAAGGAGGACACGGAGCTGTTGGGGCCAGAGGAGGCCCCAGCAGTAATGTGAGAGCTGGAACCCCTCTGCTGGGAGGAAAGGCTGGGAGAGCTGGGGCTGGTCAGCCTGAAGAAGAGAAGGGCTCCAGGGAGACCTTAGAGCAGCTGCCAGTGCCTGGAGGGGCCTAGAGGAAAGATGGGGAAAATCTTTTCAGCAGGGCTTGTTGTGATAGGACAAGGAGCAATGGCTTTAAACTAAGGGAGGGGACAATGAGACTGGATATAAGGAAGAAATTTTTTATGGTAAGTGTGGTGAAACCCTGGCCCAGGGTGCCCAGAGAGGTGGTTGATGCCCCATCCCTGGAACCATCCCAGGCCAGGTTGGACGGGGCTCTGAGCAACCTGACCCAGCTGAAGATGTCCCTGCTCCCTGCAGGGGGGTTGGGCTGGATGGCCTCTGAAGGTCCCTTCCAACCCAAACCATTCCGTGACTCTGTTTCAGCGTGCTGGGTTGTGGGCTTTGGGGAATGATTTTTTTGGTGGGGTTTTGAACGCTTCCCCTGAAGCAGAGCAGGGCAGTCCAGGTCACTTGTCAGGCAGTGGAATCTCTAAATATTGAGCTAGGAACTGATCTGCTTTTTCCTATGTTTATCTTCAGCTAAAAATATCTTCCGAGTTCGTTTCCAAGATCCCTCGCCGGGCCAGTCCCACACGCTGCAGGCCAACGACGTCTTCCACAAGCAGCAGTGGGTGAATTGCATCCGCGCCGCCATCGCTCCCTTACAGCGGACTCCCGCCGCCGGAGCTGAAGGAGCTGCCGGAGCTGAGCGAGGAGTCGGAGGAGAACAACCCCTCCGCGCCCAACGTCAAAGCCCAGAAGAGGCAGTCCGCCGTGTCTGGCGTCACCGAGATGGAGCTAGACGAAAGCACGTCCGCGTGCGGCCCCGTCCTGGACTCGGAGGAAGCCAAGGGCGTGAAGTCGCACCGAACGCCGTCCGGGCACAGGAAGACGAGGGAGAAGCAGCTGAGCGGCAAGCGGAAAGAAACGCTAGTGTAAAGAGGAGCCCAGCGACGTGGTGGAAGACTGTTTATTTATAAATAACGTGTACATTTTTGTTGTAATGTGAGCGTGGTTGGATTCACTCTACTGAACAGGATATTTTTTTTTGTTTGTTTTTTTATGTTGTAATGGCAGCTACTGGTATACAGTTAACGCTGTTGAGCTGGGGTCTGTTTTTTACAAAACGTGGCCGCTTTGAACCTGGTTTGAATGCCACGAGTGATTCGGGAGCCCTCGGGCGTTGGACTGCTCGCGGCAGTCAGGAAAATTTCCAAACGATTTCCACGCGCGGTGTTGGAGGCTGGAAAACAGAACAGCGAAAAGGGGAGGTCGGGGCCGTCGCCAGCCTGGCAGCACCTCCCCTGGCAGGGGCTCTGGGTCAGCCCCGCAGGAGTCCTCGGAAAGGGGACTCGAATCCTGAATTCACGCTTCCTTCTTGGCTTGGGCACTGCGTGTTCTGCGGTGTCAGGTTGTCATCATCCGTGCAACTTTTCATGTTCAAAAAGGAAAAAGAAAAAAAAACAGACCCCAGGTTCAACAGGTTCTCAATTGACCTACTGGAATCTTCCATCTTGGTGTGTCCTTTCTACATTCCTCATTTTCACTCTTGTAATCTGCCAGCTATTTAATTTTTTTTATTAGTTTTGTTTCAAGTTTGGGGGTTTTTTTGTTTTGTTTTCTTTGTTTTTCTTTTTTTTTACTTTTGTATGTTGATTGTTTGTTTGTTCAGACTTGGCATTTCCTTTCGAGTACCTGACCCCCCTGGCTGGGGGGTGTGCGTGTACATAACTGTTTCTCGCGTCGCTCCGCGGCGGGAGGAGACGCTCGGCGTGAGCCGCGTCAACGCCGCGAGAACTGCATTGCTCACAGGTGTAGGAAGGTTGTAGGCACGTTGTAGAGGGTTTGGGGAGGGAAGAGGAGCAGCAGCTAGTGGGGAGTAGCAGGCAGCGAAGGTAGATTATTTTTTTTTTTTTGTGTTGCCTTTTGGAAATGAAACGCCTTCCGCGGGGAGGCAGGACTGGAGGCAGCCCGGGGGTTACTGCACGTGGTAGAAAGGTAGAGAAAAGAAAGCGTTTGAAGCTGAGGAGGTGGAAGGACAGAGGAGACGGCGGTTGTACATACTCGTAGCGGTGCCGCCGCCGCGTTCTAG